TAGAACCTGCATAATGAGAAAATAGTAGCTAACTTATATAGCAGGATCCACTGAAGTAGTTCAAAATAAAAATGACCTCTTGGCGTTTGATTATCTTTCACCTTAAAGGTTGATAAACCAAACAATTCTCTTAGGACAACATTTCTGTGCAGAAAGGCATTTCTCTTGCCAAAGCATAATTTTGTTGGCTATATCTGCTTCTTCTGAGCCCTGGAAAAGGACCTAAGCTAGTAAATTGTGCTGTCCTGGCAAGATGCTCATCCTCCAGGGTATTGTATCAGGCTAAAGTAATACATCACATTGCTTCCCACTCTGTCGGGCCATTTCTCCAAAGAGTCCTAAAACAGTAATGTTTCTGCTTTGAATCTCCAGTTGTTCTTGCCCCTAGGCTTTGCACTTCAGCTCCCTGGCCTTGGAAACCAAGGTGAGCTGAATAGCACCTTTTCACACATCCCTTGAATTGGGCTTCCAAAAGAAGAGAGGCTCTCAAGAAAGGAACAGGCTCATAGCACTCTGTTTCATTCCGTTTAGACCCAGGGATAGATACATAAACATTGACTTGATTGGGTAACAGGAAGACTTTGGTCTTTGGAGTTATGGGGATTTAGTAGCTGAGAAAGAGCTGCTGAGTGGTGGGGGTAGTGTCAGGTCATATAGGGCCATGATTCCTAGAAAAGATGACCTCGTCCAATTGAGAGGTAGTAGGACCAGCAAACACTGCCAATTAAAAATTAACACAGGCCAAAAATGAAATCAATGCCTAAATTTGATAGGTTTTCAAGAAAAGTTTATGACACACAGTTCATAGAAAAAAGAACATTTTCTCGGTGTCTATTTTTACAGATTCCAAAGGTCAATCTTACTCAGAAAGATCCTTCTACAAAAAAGCAGAAATGTACAGGGGCCACTAGCAAAGTATAAGAGGGTAGGGGGTAGACACACACAGATGAATTTCTTATAAAAATCCTAATTTCAAAAGTTCTGATATTGATATTAATTCACCTAATTCTCTGAGGTGTTTGAGTGCATGTGTGTATGCACCATGTTATTCTAAGTGCATAATGATGTGGCCAGTGAGTTTCTTTCCATATCTTTGCTAAGCACATAACTACATACATCTCAATAATTCCTTTAAATAAATATAATGTCTATAGAAAAATTTAAAGGTAAAATGCTAATCCTCAAGAGTTTTTAAATTAAATGGGAATTCTATGAATTCAGGCAATATCAACACTTCAATGTATTATATGTTGGGTCTGGATAATAGTATTATCATAATTTTCCTTCTATTAGGAATTTATGAAAGGAGTTGGTTTTCCAAATAAAGACATCAAATGCAGAAAAGATTAGAAAGTGACTTCTTTTTTCCGGAAATGAAAATTAAAATGCTTCCAAAGTGATGTGTATGTCTATAATCTCCGCACTCAGGAGGTTAAGGCTGGAGGATCATGAATTCAAGGCCAATTGGAAGTACATAGCAAGACTCTGTTTTTCAAAAAAGAAAAGAAAAGAAAAAAGCTAAAATATAGGTGTGGGAGTATAGATCAGTGGTATACCACACACTTAGCATTCACAAGGCCCTGGGTTTAATCCTCAGAGCCACAAAAAACACTAATAGGTAGACAGCTTCAAGATTACCCACATTTTATATAACTTCCCAACTAGTATCCATGCAATATTATATTAATTGAATTAATTTTCAATAGATGAGATGGCCCACAAAGAAATATTGCCCTAAGAAACCATTCTGAGTTATTCTAGATTATCAATGTGTCTGAAAGTCTGAAATAAATAATTGGCATGAGAACTCTTATTTTCTGGCTTCTGCATATCTTAACTGTAATAATGTCATTCAGCCAATTCTCTGTTAATCAAAGTTAAATGCAGATTAGTTTGTTAACTAATAATCCCACTTGCTTTTTCTAGCATACAAATAATTGAAAATCCAGCTTGAATTGTTCTACCTCTTTTATTATACTTTCAAAACACATGAGCCATCTTGAAACCTCCTCCCACTAACAAATTTATAGAGAATAGTTTTATTCTTTGGAACACAAAGAGTAACAAATATGTAACAAGAAAATAAGAATATTCCTATTTGGAAAATATTTGAATTTGTTGTTATTTGAAATGCTGATTCTTCAAATCAATGTTTCCTCTTTCCAATGACTATGTTAAAATAGTTAAAGTAAAACTTTCTCACTAAGCAAGAAGGGAAGTTTTAAAGGAAATCGAAGTCAAGTACAGCATCGCTACTCCATTTTTAGAAACCAATGCAGCACCGGTAGAGGTAATTTTACCAGTGATGAACAACCAGAATTCTTTGCTCTAAAGTGATGACCCCAGTTAAATCTTTGCATCACACATTTCTCTTCAGTGATGGAGGAGAGCAGGTTGCTTGCATCCATGACAAAATGTGAGACTCAGCTAATTGGTGTGGTTTGATGATGCCACAATTCTGCTCAAAACCCTTGTAACTAGCAAGTTTGCCCTGAAGATTATTGAATTACTCCCCTGACCATGCATTATTTAAAGGGAAGTGCTGTTATTATAGAAGCCAGCTGTTTAACCATTGGAATTCTATCTGTTGGCCAACTTTCAAGATACAGCAGTGCACTGTAACTAAACATTATATGTCCTCATTGAAGAGGCAAAGTCTAGGTTAAGTGGTCAACTGGTCTGGTAAGCAATATTTTGGTTTACATACTAGGAAACCTATGAGGTACAACTACTGACAAAATAAATATATAAGTATGTAAATTTTCAATGTGAAGGTTTGTCAGCAAGAAAAAACAAATCTGTAGAATGTCATACATGCCTGTTCACTCTAACAGCTCAGTGAGTATATAGACTCTTCATAATGCTAGTACAACAGAACTCTGAGATGGTACCTCATTATAGAAGGGATAATTCCAGCCACCAGTCTTTTGTTGTTCCATTGAAGAAGGGAATGAAAAATGTTTTGAGCAACGTGGAGAATATAAATACTTATTAGAAAAAAAATTTTTCATCTTCTCAATTTAAAAAAATCCAAACATTTTTATCAAAGACAACATAAGTGGTTTCTAATCATATTGAATATTTACCCTAGGATGAGTTTTCTCTTCCATCTTTTTATAAAATCTCTGGAATAGAAAAGAGCGCAGCAATCACCCACACTGTCCAACACAGGAATCTGCTCCTATGATCTCTGACAGCTGTTCTTACAGTAACTGCAACCTGCAATAGAAGGTTCATTACTTTTCAAGAATGTCTGCCATATATTTAACATGCTTAAGTTCAAACTATTAAAAACTTTTTTAATGTTAAGCCACTATTTGTTTTTCATTCACCTACCAGTTCTGATTCTTCCCATCTGAGCAAAATTGTATACTGAAGGCAAGGATGGACAATTAATTTTGTTTTATTTAAAAACTAATCAAAATGCCTAAAATTAGCTATAATTGAAAGGTCATCAAAAATACCTATTTTTATCAAAATAGATATTGGAGTAAAATGTTTTATTGCCTTTCTAACAAATCACATTGTCAGGCTTCTTGTTTTAGCTCATAGCATCAAATATCTTATTGTGGTTTTGAAAAAAAAAAAAGAGAAATAAGAGACATTTGAAGATGAAGGATAAAAACTTTGATCCACAGTTGTAGTCTCTCAACTGGTGAGAAATTATGATAATTTATTGAATATCCTAATATAGAAGCAGAAATCAAGTATATAGGACACTTCAAAGGATGAATTAAACTTTAAAAGGCAATGAGTAAACGCTTGTTACATTTACATATTCTGAATAGAGTACAATGAGTCCATTGTAGACATCATGAATAGACAAAAAAAATCTCTATAATAGGATAGCTATAGATAACATAGCTACTACATTTATGGGAAAATCCAAGACTCTATACCACTATTTCAATAACATTTTTAAAAACAAATATGGACACAAGATCAACTTTCCTTGTGGAGCATTATAAAAAGGTCATAAAATTCTCTGTTCCAAAATCCAACATACAATGAAACATGTCAAACTCTGAGACAACAAAACAGGTGTCAGGTGTGTGCTGTTATTTTTTGCTGTAATGATGATTTCAATGTCATAAAAGGAAACAGACCCTGTAGTGAGTTGATGGTCATCAAGAACAGAATATATGGGCTGGAGATGTAACTCAAACAGTACAGTGCCTGCTTAAAATCCTGAGTTCAAAACCCTCCAGTCCCACCAAAAAAAAAAAAAATAGAATGGAATATACATTGCATAGAAATGCTCTCTGTTAGGCTGGATGCATGGCTCAAGAAGTAGAACTTCTGCCTACCAAGTGCAAGGTACCTCCAAAAAAAAAAAAAAAAGGTAGAAGAAGAAGAGAAAAAAAAAATGCTTTCTACCATCCTAAGATGAAGGTTGGTGTCTTCCTCCTGTCACAGAAGCAGGATTTAGTTAGAGGTACTTGAAATGTAAATGCTAAATAGGATCTAACAGCCTCAACCCTCTGAAAAACTCTCCATTTTCAACCCATGAGCCTGAGTTTCGAAATCAGTTGTTTCTAAGTTAGCCAAGTTTGAAAGTTTCTGGAACCACTCCTACAGCCCCACCTCCAAACATCAAATTACTCTCCCATAATCAACAAATGGCTCCCATTTGAGATTTATAGTCTCAAAAAAATAAATAAATAAACAATCACTACCTGCAGGGCACTACCAGTGTGGTTAGAACAAAATGGGCCACATCACCTTCCCCTTTTACCCTACTCCATGTGAAAAACCCAAGTGTATCTACCACTCTTGACTGGCTAGCCAGTTAACAAAAAGTATGTAGAAGTCCTTTGTGGATTACAAAGAACCATGTAAGCCCATTTGTATCTTTCCTCTAATTTATAGTCCCAAGAAAAGATTATAAAAACAAAAAAAAAACATTGTTTACATTGCTCAGGGGACCAGCCACGTCTCAGCTTGCCAGGGCCTGGCTAGCAAGCAAAAACAGAGTCCACTTCTGTGCTGGTCTTTCCTCCATGGCAAGTGAAAACACTGCTGAAGCTCCAATGGAGGCCAGCTGCCTGGTCCCTCCCAAACCCCACAATGATGAGAAGTCCACAGGGTTCACTCTGAGAGAGAGCTGCAAAGCCCGCCCAGAGAGACCACAAATGAACCCTCCTAAGTTACTACCTCCAGCTGCCCTAAGAATGACAATAAACCTGCCTTACGAGAGGAAGCAGCCACCAGGCTCCTGTGCCAAGCATCAGGAAAACATTTGGGTTCTTAGAGGATGCCATGAACAGTTGGCCTTGCCAACAATGAGGCAGCCAAACTAGTTTGGTAGCAAGCCATTACCATGGCCCTGATCTCCACCAAAGAGAAAGTTCAAAATTCATACAAGGATTTTGACTTTGAAAATCCCATCTCTAAGTACGCTGTCATTATTACATGATAATAAGGCTCTTTTTTTATTTAATTTAATGGTTTCTTGGGTTAGGAATTAAGACTGAATATATATCAGATAGTTAATTGGATTCTTGTGGATCAGTGGTTCACACATTTTCTTCCATGAAGTTTAGACATCAGTGGAGAAACCCCCCAGGCAGCCTCCTTCCCACAGGAGATAAGGGAGATGAGAACTGGCCAAGATCTAGACTCCTTCATCAGGCCTGAGACAGTAAAGTCTCATGGTTTGTCTGTTTTATATATTGGTGTATAGGATAGATTTGGTATGACAGAAGATCTACCATGACAAAAAGTTGACAAATAATTCAAGTGCATGTTAAGTTCCACATAAACTTGTTTTGCTCTTTCTTTTAATTCCAGAGCCAATAAAAAGTGGATCCAAACCAAGACAAGATAAAATAAAACCAAATCAAACTTACTTGCCAAGTAAAGACGTCTAATTGATATGCAAATTTCAAAAGAAATTTGACTCAGGGTGTTTCCTCAGGGCAATTAGAATCACATAAAAGGTGGATATTTAATTCATTCTGTCTCAGGCTAGTAGTTATTCCATAAGAAAAGAGGAATAATTGTGGGGATCTCTCTGAGGTGATGGGACAAGGGCACTAGTCCTTTAGTATTATTATCAGGTCTTAGTTCCAAGTTTTCTGGATGCAGTCAATAATAAGACTACTTTTTATAGACTACTAAGACCCTGGAAAGGATACTAAGAGGAAACTAATATTTATTTAGAAATTGTGTGTCAGATGTTGTGCTAAGCACTATCCATACATTCTTTCAGTTTATCCTCAATTTTGACAAGGAAGATGTTGTTAAATTCATTATACAAATGGGCAAACTGAAGCCTAGAGGGTTTTAGTGATTTGTCAAGAGTCATATACCAGGTCTCCTGTTCTCAGTAGGGCACTGGGCTCAGCAGCAAGTTGATTGAAATTTGAATAAGTCATTTCCAATTGAAAAACTGAAAGTCTCAGTTTTCACATCAGTAGAATGAGGATCCCTTTGGAATTTAAAACCTCTTTCATGCTCAATCTGATTTTATAATGGCAGTAGTTAAGTAAAAAAGCAAACAATTGACCTTTCCTATGTATAAAAACTATACTGATTTGCTACAAAGATTGAGGACAGTTTTCCCAGCGCTTGAAGAAAATGTCCTTATACAAATGTTTGAGAAAATAGGTAACCTAAAAATTCTGAGTTCATCCTTACACAATATATACCTGTGCCAAAATATCACTCTATATTCCATAGTTTTAAAAATGAAAAAAGTTTTTAAAAATTTTAAGAAAATTTACTGCATACCACCAGTATTCCTAGTGGCCTCCCATCTAAATCAGTATGTAAAAAAAAGTCTAGTATCGGCATAAACAAGATTTTTTGACTATAGGTTGCTGGGAACATGGGAAGAATTAGCACACATAAAGTGCATAGTGAAAACATGAGGCCCTGAGTTCAAATAAATACAAAATTGTGTGTTGAATGAGTTAATGAGTGTGGGAAAGATTCCAGGAGAAACTCTGGAATCCAAAATCTGTGGGCTCAGGCATTCTGGGGAAGCTTGAAGAAGGTGGGATGCTGGAGGATGTGTGTGGAGTGGATAGGGAAGAGGAGAAGCATAGGGACTGTGTGACAGACTGTGACAGCAGATTTTACCCTAATGCCAGGCTATTCTGTTTTCTATGTACAGACAAGCCCACAGGCTATGGCTCCAGCAGTAGGAGGGCACCTCAGACAGGCATCGTGGATGAGTGCTGCTTCCGGAGCTGTGATCTGAGGAGGTTGGAGATGTATTGTGCCCCTCTCAAACCTGCCAAGTCAGCCCGCTCTGTCCGTGCCCAGCGCCACACTGACGTGCCCAAGACTCAAAAGGTAAGCCAGCCAGGTGGGATTCAGCCATCCTCAAGTCATCTCTGTCTCTTGCATGTGAGTGAACCAAAACAGAAATTTTGACCCATAGTCTCTTGGCTGATTCCCACCAACAGGATGAATTCTATGTCCATCCTTTCAGTCACTCTGTATTGAAATTTCTCCTTTCTACTGCTCTGACAGTCTGATAACTGGAAAATGGTGGAAATCAGAGACTACACATGGACTTTGGTATCAAATAATAACTGAAGTCACCTGCTGAAGCCCCTTGCCCAAATAAGACATCCTATCCAAGCCTCAGTTTCATCTGTAAAATTATGATATCTTCCACAACAGGTTGTTGTCAAAATTAAGTAACATGCATATACTCTAAGGTGCTTTTCACATGCCTGCACAAAATAATGGTTAGACCAGTGTTAATGTCTGTCAAGATTGTGATTAATAATTATGATTAGTAATAAAATGTACAAATCCTGGGATTCTGCAATGGTGCAAAGACAAAGAGAGTCTGTAATGGGTACTATTTGAAATTCACGTTCAGTGGCAAATATAAATTAAAGAAAAAACATTAAAAATAGACATTTCTACTTAACTGTAAAAACACCTAGAAATTTCTAATGGTCAAAATTTTCAGGCATCTTTTTTCTACAAGTTATACTGTAAACCAACCTTAGCGGTCCCAACAACACTCCCAGAAGTACATAAAATATTTAATGCACTCTAGTCACTTGATAGACTTTTGCTGAATGAGGGAATGAACAAATGAATATGAGGACCAAAGTAAAAGTTTAATCCTCAAGTATAAATAATAAGAACTAAAGAGAAGATGAAAGGAGAAAAAGAGAAAGTGAAGAAAATGAGTAAGGAATAAGGAATCATTTAGGTCTATTTGGGGACTTTGTTGGAAAAAAAAAAAGCCAACATGTAATTTTAATCCTCAAAGCCAAAACTAACATTGTAGGAAAAGTACAAGAGTCCACAGTGACACCTTTGCTGCTTTCTGGTCCTAAACCACAGCTGAGGCTATAGGCATACCATGGTGATTTAACAGAAATGTCACTCCAAGAAGCCACCCCAAGTGCTATAGGGGGACCGTTCAGGACATGTTGCACACAGAACACAGTAGCCAACAGTGAGTCAGGGATCAGCCTCCACAGAAAAAACTTTTAGGCAGGAATGTGTGCTTAAAAGGGCAAAGGCATGTTCATTCTTTCTCTTCCCAGACAAAGTGTCTCTCAATTTCTAATTGGGGTGGAAATGGGTATCAGAGATAAGTTCCAAGATTCTGAAATGTAGGTATTGTGACTGAGGTGTAGACTCCTCTCCAGTACCAGTGTGATCTCCTGTTTTCTATGGAGCCTGGGCATTCTGGGCTGACACTAAGGTTCTATCTTCTGGGACATTGTGGGAACCATCTGTTCTCAATGAAATTATTTTTTGTGATGTTTACAGTCTCAGCCCCCACCTACCAACAAGAAAAAGAAGCTTCAGAGGAGAAGGAAAGGTGGGCCAAAGACACGCCCAGGAGGGGAACAACAGGAGGGGACAGAAGCAAGTCAGAAGAAGAGGAAACAAGAAAGAGCAGAGAAGGGGGACTGGAGCTAGGAACTGTGAACACAGAGGCAAAAACAGGAAAATGGAGGAGAGGAGGACTAAGCAGACAGAGACAAGGATGAGAGAGGAGCAGACAAATACAGAAAAGCAGGAAATACTATAGAGGAAATGAAGAAAAGTAGCCCTGATGGAGCTACATAATGCATGTTTTGAAGTAAAAGTAATCTGTTATAGAATGTGACTGATAAACATGGAGAAAGCATAATGCTTGAGAAAGTGCAAAGAAAGTGACAAGAATGGAAAAAAAGAACAAAGATTATAAGAGACCAACAAGATACACCCTTCTTCTTCTCTCCCCAAATAAATAAGAGTAAAAGAATTCAGATAAAAATTAAGTATTGATATGCATTTTGAATTTTGTACAAATCTGTTATAGAAAAATTGCCCGTGTCAATATATGTTCAGAGTTAAATATTAGCCCCAAATTCTTAGCAAGACTGAATTGTGTCATAAAAGTTCCCAGATTTCCTTTTCTGCAAGCTCATTGGAGTCTGCATTTCTAAGTCAAGTCAAGGGTTTGGGCCAAAGGGCAACAGGTATTTACATAAAGACCTGTGAGGTAACCTTTGAAAGGCCAATGAACCTTTTTTTGTGTACACTTTGGTATCAGATATAAAAGATGTATTAGTTTGCTCAGGCTGCCATAACAAAGTATCACAGATTGAGTGGCTTAAACCACAGATATATCTTTTCTCACAGTTCTGGAGACTGAAAGTCCAAACAAAAAAAGTACCACCCCTTCTGAGGGCTGTAAGGAAAGATGTGTCTCAGGCTCCCTTCCTATTGTATCTACATGATATTCCCTCTGTATATATCTCTGTGTTCAAATGTCTTCATTGTTTAAGGATGTCAGTCATACTGGATGACATCCAACACTAATGACCTCATTTTAATTTGAGTACTTCTATAAAGAACCTCCAAGTGTATTTTGTACTGGAGGTTCAGACCTTAAACATATGAACTTTGGGGAGGGAAGACACAATTCTGTCAATTATGAAGACTTCTGATGCCCAAATGGCCAACCATTTACATATATAAGCCTTTTGGCTATATATCCTAAAATTGGTTATATATCCTAAATTTCTCTGTGTGTGTCTCTCTCTCTTCTCTCCTTTTCTGTCTTCCTCTTCCCTCATTTCTCTCACCATTCCCCTCATACACAGATTCATGAAATGCTGTTAATTTCTGTCCCATGAGAAACACTAGGACTGTGTTATTACAGCTGGAAGAGGCCTCAGAAGTCATTTGGTTCACTATTTTCATTTTAAAGACAAGGCCATTGAGAGCCCAAGATGGGTAAAGATATGCTTAGGTTCTAAGCTTCTTTCCTTCTGGCCATCAGACAATAGCACATAATCAAATTGATTCAACTAAGAAAGAAGTCCAAAAGGAAATCAGGGGGCAGAAATGAACATATGAGTATCCCACTAATTTTATATTTTTCTGCCAGAATGTAGTAAATTAGAGCAAGAGTGCTGGATAGCTCTGAAAGTGAAGAAAGCTAAGAGAATTACAGTATTTAGGTCTTAGAGATCTCCTTCACTTCTCTTGTTTAATCAGTAAGACCAGAGTCTTCCATAGAGAATAAAACAGAAAGTCTCAAGGTTATCCAAACTGTGAATTGTAGGTGCTAAGAGAGAAATGCTCAGCAAGCACTTGTGAGCACAATGATGACACTTGGGAGTTAAAAAAACGACTAAAATCCCTAAGTGAAATATCAAAGTAGCCTACTTTAAATCATGATATAAAGGCATGTCCTTTCTGCCTGGTCAATCATGTCCCTACCATGTTTTCTACTTCAGGATTACCTTTCTTCCATGGTTCACTGAAAACCAGGATCCCTTCAGTATAATGGAGATGCTCAAGGCTCAATCCAAGAGAAAAAGTTCCAATCATAAGCATGTCAAAGCCCCAAATTGGAGTCAGGCTACTGCTGCTATGGTTGAAAAATGGAGGCTGATTTATCAGATCAGACAAAAGCCAGGCTGATACCTGAGCCATCTGGTCAGCCACCTTATTCAGGAGAAGTTGAATTCTCCTGCTAAGGCATTATGCTTTGGGGTTGGCTTTAGGTACTGGTCAATACTATATCCATCACCTTAGCAGAGCCTGCAAATATAGATGGCTCTTCAAGGGACAACAGTTTATCAGAAGAATTCAGAATTTATGTCCCATGGGAAGGCATGGTTAAACTATAATTATGCCCAATCATAAGCTTGATTCAAGAAGAACTTTAACAAAGCAATAGAACCTTCTACTTAACTACTCCCAGACTATGCACTAAAGTATACTTCATTTTTAATAGGTTTGTCAACTCTACAGCCATCCTTTTGCATGCCTACATATAATTACCATGTAATAGGAACCAGGAAAATAGAAAAAAATCAACTGTTGAGTTTTCATGTTCTTTGTTGTATCAATAGTCAAGGACCTAGTATACTTGGATGGATGGATGGATGGATGGATGGATGGACGGATGGATGGATAAATGGACTAGATGGATGATGAGTGAGTAGATGGCAGGAAGGATTAACGAGTGATACAGGCAGATGCATAGCGGTAGTAAGACAGACATTAAAAATAAGTTGCACTACTGAGATGAAATGATTCCACTCATCATACATAGGACAGTAGGGCAAATACAGAGTAAAACAGGAAAGACAAAGGAGATTTGCTAGCACAAGTCTCATACGTTTGAAATGTCCTTCTCTGGTCTAAATTGAATTTTCTCAAGAATCTATTTCTATACGTGGCAGCTGCTAAATATTTTATAATGAATGTTATATACTTTTAGTCCCTGCAGTGTTTTCTTCAAGTGAGCAGAGTATTAATCATCATTTAAAAGTCCTATGTTTCAACTTCAAATGTTTCTCCTAAGGCAAATGGATGATTGTGTATAAAAGTAATTGGAATATGTATGGATTCATCATCCTGAAATAAAATTAATGGAAAATATTTTATTGAGCATCTACAATGTGAAAACCAGTGTGAAGCATGAAGGAGAATTATAATTATTGGAGAGATAGTATTAGGAGCACAATGTAGAGTAAGAGTGCCTGAATTCAAATTCTGGCTTTCCCACTAGCTAGCTGAGAAGCCTTGGGCAAATAACCTAATTTACCTATGCCTCAGTTTCTTCATCTATCAAATAGGTCATAATTGAATCTACCCCATACAGTTGTTGTGAGGATGTACTGAGAGTGTATATATACATATACATTATGGTACTCAAAATGGTGCTTTCATATAATAAACACTATTAAAGTACTAGCTAATATACTGTACTTACTTCTGAAAATTAGAGCCATATGAGAAAGAAACCAGTCTCCTGAAGTGAAAGCAAATCTCATGTCACCAAAAGCATCAAGCCCAAGCTTGCCAACACTTTT